AGTGCTTATATGTCAGCCAGGTTAGCTTTTTAGATGTCTGCTTTTATTGGATTTTGTCTAAAAGTCCACTGCCTAAGAGCCACTTCTAAGCCTCTTTGTTGCTTAAATTTGACCAAAAGTGTCTGGTTGGCACTGACTCTCACCTAATCTGGTCATTATTACCGCCCCCCCAATGTGGAACCAAAACCAATGAAACAAACAAATCCAGGAAAAAACAAATCCTCACGATGAGGGAAAAAAATGACCAATCAAGAAAAATCTTCAGTCTACAGCCATATCACCCTGAATGCACCCAGTCTCGTCTGGTCTCAGAAGCTAAGCAGGATGGAGCCTGGTTTGTACTTGGATAGAGAAAATATCTTCAGAGGAGACTGCTCAGAGACAAACAGTTTGGAGACAAGGTGGGAATGTCATCAAAGTTCAAATGGGGTCACCCATGCCAGACCTTTCAAAAATAACCAAGGATTGAGGAGATGAGGAGAGGATTGAGGAAATGGTTCTTATATTCATATGGTTTATCTGTCATTAAAGCCCTTCCAGACACAAACTCATATTTTTAGACAGGGTCCTCTACTTAGAGACAAAATGACTATTTTTACTGCCTCTAAACATGTCCTTTGATACTAAAAGATGGTGGTGTTAGCTTTTTTAAACAACCCATTTTCTTGGACATATATACTGAGAGTATATTGTTACCATGATAATTCTACCCAGTAAAAAAAAAAAAAAAAAGATACTGTCTGGGTAAAAGAATAAAATGTCCAACCACTAAAACCCCATTGGAGTGTCTATCCCCACTGCAGTTGAAGTAGCAAAAATTGCTCCCTGGATCCACCACAACCAGTAAAGCGAGATTCTCCAGAGTGAGAGTGCATCCCTGACCCAGCCTCACCATGCAAAATTGCCCTCTAGAACACCTGTGCCCTTCCTCAGCAGGACCCTGCTTCCCAGGAGATAACAGGACCACGAACAACAGGAGGACAGCCCTGCTCTAGTCACTCCTGAAGCTGACTAATCTACGCATGGAGGAAGCTGAACATGGGACGCACCCCTGCTGTCCTCTACACACTTGGACTCTTACCTTTTAGGTTGGCCCTTGCAAGCTTTCCCCCATGTACTAAATGTTTTAAGAGAGCCATTGTTGGAACCTCTGCACAGCCATGCTTTGTATCATGCACCCACCAACAGATCAGATGTTACATTGGGTCATATACTTCCCAGGTTTGCAAGGTTGCTGGTAAGTGATACTGAAAGTCCCAGAGTAAAGAAAGCAATACAGGCTACATTTGTCATGGAAAGCAGGGCGATGGATCTTACCTTGGGAGCATGTTTGATGTTACCCTGCCTGGTCCTCTTGGTATGGTCCATGAGGACCATTATAGAGGCCACTATAGAGAGAAAAACATCCATGTAGTGTTGCTATAAAGATACAAATCCCTAAATCAAGATGATGCTCTTTGACTCTAGGTGAAGAGGTTATCAAAGAGGGGATGATGTAGCAGGGAGGAGGACCAAAAGACAAACAGGCCTGTGTTCTGACAAAGTAGCAGGGGGGAAGGAGATGGCATAGGAGAGAGAGAAAACCTAAAGAATCCAAACATGAAGAAGGTTATGTAGCACAAGGGTGAAAAAGTAGTAGCCTATAGAATTGCATATAACTATATATGGGTTAAACCTTATTTTTAAATTTTATTGCCTCTATAACCTGCTTGCAGGGGTACAGAAGGTGAGACCCCTTTGTTCTCGGGGCTCAACCTTTGGACATGAGTCTGCTGAGTCTGTGCCTGCACAACAAAGCCTTGCTTCCTTGCCTCAAATCCAGTGAGTTTCCTATAACACTTCAGGCAGCTGAGGGAGTTTTGTAATTTCTTTAGACGTCATTTAGCTGAAACCTCTTGCCCTCCAACTGATGCTGTATGAATTCTCCATTTTGCTACTACTGATAGGATTCTTGCATCCACCACTCCATTAGAACTGCTAACTCCACAATTTATTTTTATTATAACTATATTTATTTAGTTAATGTGATGGGACTGGAGTTTGAACTCAGGGCTAGGATTATAGGCGCCAGGCTTTAGTCCACATTTTACTTTGAGGGTAAATACTCAGTTTTCATAAATTGTTCTTGGAGGTCCAATGATCCCTGTCTATCTTGTGCCATATATTCGTCATCTTTTAGACTCCCAACTAACTGAGCCATCTCTTGTTCCTTTCTGGCCTTTTTTGGGTTCTTTGAATGCTCAGAAGTTACTAGTGGTGGTTGCAGACCGCTCCAGGTTGCCGCAGTTGCTGCCGCTATCGTACCAGCCCCTCGGGTCTCAGCGAGGCTGGGTGATACTCCAGGATGGGAGACAAGCCAATCTGGGAGCAGATTGGATCTATCTTCATTCAACATTACTACCAGTTGTTTGATAATGACAGAACCCAACGAGGCGCGATTTATATCGATGCATCATGCCTTAAGTGGGAAGGACAGCAGTTCCAGGGAAAAGCTGCCATTGTGGAATTGTCAAGCCTTCCGTTCCAGAAAATCCAGCATAGCATCACTGCTCAAGACGATCAGCCCACACCAGACAGCTGTATTATCAGCATGGTTGTGGGCCAGCTCAAGGCTGATGAAGACCCCATTATGGGATTTCACCAGATGTTCTTATTAAAGAACGTCCATGATGCTTGGGTTTGCACCAATGACATGTTCAGGCTTGCCCTGCACAACTTCGGCTGACCTCCTTGTGGCCATTTACTCATGCTGTTTCCTCTTCCTGATGCTCTCCCACTCTCCACATGCTCCAAATGTCATCCACAAATGAGCAGGGCCAAGGCGGGAGTGGGTGCGCTGCGCTGCTACTCCAAGGTGTTAGTGCGTGACGTCTGCACACTAGACTAGTTGCATCTGACACGAGAAGTTTGTGTTGTACCAGCGCATGCCGTGGAAAGACTTAAAGCAATGCAAAAGGTTGTCCTTTTTTTTTTAATCTACTGTCAAGTTGCTCTAGTAACCCAAAGAAGTGAAGGTGAAAGCAGCTGCCTCACCACCCAGATATTGACTTGTTCAGATGTTTCAAATGCCTCATGATACAATAAACCACAAAAATGTTCTTTTTTTTTTAAATTTTCTTTTATTATTCATATGTGCATACAAGGCTTGGTTCATTTCTCCCCCCGCCCCCAACCCCTCCCTTACCACCCACTCCGCCCCCTCCCTCTCCCCCCCAATACCCAGCAGAAACTATTTTGCCCTTATTTCTAATTTTGTTGTAGAGAGAGTATAAGCAATAATAGGAAGGAACAAGGGTTTTTGCTGGTTGAGATAAGGATAGCTATACAGGGCATTGACTCACATTGATTTCCTGTGCGTGGGTGTTACCTTCTAGGTTAATTCTTTTTGATCTCACCTTTTCTCTAGTACCTGGTCCCCTTTTCCTATTGGCCTCAGTTGCTTTAAGGTATCTGCTTTAGTTTCTCTGCGTTAAGGGCAACAAATGCTAGTTAATTTTTTAGGTGTCTTACCTATCCTCACCCCTCCCTTGTGTGCTCTCGCTTTTATCATGTGCTCAAAGTCCAATCCCCTTGTTGTGTTTGCCCTTGATCTAATGTCCACATATGAGGGAGAACATACGATTTTTGGTCTTTTGGGCCAGGCTAACCTCATTCAGAATGACGTTCTCCAATTCCATCCATTTACCAGCGAATGATAACATTTCGTTCTTCTTCATGGCTGCATAAAATTCCATTGTGTATAGATACCACATTTTCTTAATCCATTCGTCAGTGTGGGGCATCTTGGCTGTTTCCATAACTTGGCTATTGTGAATAGTGCACAATAAACATGGGTGTGCAGGTGCCTCTGGAGTAACAGTCTTTTGGGTATATCCCCAAGAGTGGTATTGCTGGATCAAATGGTAGATCGATGTCCAGCTTTTTAAGTAGCCTCCAAATTTTTTTCCAGAGTGGTTGTACTAGTCTACATTCCCACCAACAGTGTAAGAGGGTTCCTTTTTCCCCACATCCTCGCCAACACCTGTTGTTGGTGGTGTTGCTGATGATGGCTATTCTAACAGGGGTGAGGTGGAATCTTAGCGTGGTTTTAATTTGCATTTCCTTTATTGCTAGAGATGGTGAGCATTTTTTCATGTGTTTTCTGGCCATTTGAATTTCTTCTTTTGAGAAAGTTCTGTTTAGTTCACGTGCCCATTTCTTTATTGGTTCATTAGTTTTGGGAGAATTTAGTTTTTTAAGTTCCCTGTATATTCTGGTTATCAGTCCTTTGTCTGATGTATAGTTGGCAAATATTTTCTCCCACTCTGTGGGTGTTCTCTTCAGTTTAGAGACCATTTCTTTTGATGAACAGAAGCTTTTTAGTTTTATGAGGTCCCATTTATCTATGCTATCTCTTAGTTGCTGTGCTGCTGGGGCACAAAAATGTTCTTAACAACAACAAAGTTACTAGTGACTTTTACCCCTGGGCCTGCGGTGGCTGCCCTTTTGCGTAGCCTTGACTACCGCTGGCTCTGAATTCCTGATTCCCCTTAACTGACTTTATTTTATTTAGTTAATTAACAGTTTTTTTTATTTTAATATGGAACACTTCACGAATTTGCGTGTCATCCTCTTCTCTGTATTGTTCCAATGTGCGGCCCAAGTGAGCACTAGTTAATTTTTTTTCTTCAGTGCTGGGACTGAACCTAGAGCTATCACTTGAGCAGCACGCCCTGTCCCTATTGAAAAGTCCCATGAAAGCAAAGACCCGTGTCACCTGTAACAGGTGTTGCCAGGTCACTGCCAGAGTACCTGGCGAATGCATAGAGGCTCTGGGACACCCAAAGCGCTGGAAGTGGCGTTGGAAGGACGGGGAATTCCCGGGACCAGGGTGGGTGGCGCGGCGCGCTTTGCCGCGCATGGCCGCTGGGGGGCGCTGTGCCGCCCGCCCACTCCTTGCCGCGGCGCTGCGGTGCCCGCCCTTCGCTAGACAAGCCGCGTTCCGCCGCCGCCCGCTCAGTCGCCCGCGGGGCTCGCAGCCCGGTCATGACCTGCTACATCTACCAGCTGCCCTCCTGGGTGCTGGACGACCTCTGCCGCAACATGGACACGCTTAGCGAGTGGGACTGGATGCAGTTCGGTGAGTGCCCGGGACGGCCGCCTGCCCCCCGAGTCATCCCGACCCCAGCTCCCTCTGGGACCCTGGCTCGGCGGGGCCCCGCGCTGGACCCGGTGCCCGGCGGTCCCGGTCCAGGTCCCGGTCGTGGCGCGCGACCCGCCGGCAAGTTGCGTTAGTTTCCAGCGAGACTCGTAACGGTAGGACCAGTAGTTACGGCGTGAGCAGCGACCCCCCCACCCGCCCCCTTCTCAGAGGGGAGCGGCTGGCCGAGTGGCAGGGCAGGCGGGATTTGAACCTGGGACTCTGGCCCCGTCGGGACTCACTACCTTGTTCCTTGACGAGTTTTGCCTGATGACTGGCGGGCAGGGGCTCTAGGAAGACAGTCTGTGTGCCGTTGGGCCACTGGCTTAACCTCCTTGTTTCTGAATCTGTAAAGCGAAGATGAGGATTAACTGTGGCGCCTTTATAAAGTTATGAGGAATGAAAAGCACCGAAAGCACCCAGCGTCCCAGCCTCAGTGTTTTGAGATGGGGTCTTACCGTGTAGGCCAGGCTGCTAGCACAGCCTGGTAAGTTAGTGTTTGTGTTGTTTTTTGTGAGACTGGAGTTTGAACTCAGGGCTTTGCGCTGGCACCGCAGGGGCTCTACCGCTTGAGCCCCATCTCCAGTCCGTTGTGCTCTGGTTGTTTTAGAGATGGGGTCTCCTGAGCCGCTTGGTGTTCTTCTTTCTCTCTCTTCTCTCTCTCTCTTCTCTCCCTCTCTCTTTCATTTGGCTGTACAGGAGTTTAAACTCAGAGCCTCACACTTGCTAGACAGGCGCTCTTACTGCTTGAGGCTCTCTATCAGCTCTTTTTGTCTAGAGACTCCAGCTAGGGTCTCTAGACCTATTTGCCCTGGGTGGCTTCCAGCTGCCATCTTCTTGATGTCTGCCTAGAATTACAGGCCTGAGCCAACAGCACCCAACCTCCCTCTCTCCTTCCCTTTCTCTCTCTCTCTTCCTTCCTTTCTTTTCTTTGTTTCTATTTTTTTCTCCACTGATCCCACCTTAGTGTTAGTGTTATCCATAAGGAAGTAATAACAACTGGCATTCTTAGTTTTATGGTTTAAGTAAGTGTAATTGATGTTACTTAATTTTTTAAACGCATTAGTAAATTTTTATGTAAACTTTTTTAGATTATGGACTGGGGGCGTGGCTCAAGTGGTAGAAAGCTTGCCTAGTATGCGTGAGGTTCCATTCCCAATATCACAAAAAATCTACATTGTAAAATAAACCATTTATACAAAAGAGTATATAATGTATATTTACAGCTGAAAAAAAATAAAATACAGGTGTGGTGTAATCCCAGAACTAGGGAGGCAGAGGCAGGAGGATTGTAGCCAGCCTGGACTACATAGCTTGACCCTGTCACATACACACACACAAAAACCCCATAAAAATCAAATAAAATACAATAAGATGGACGTGTATGTGTTGTCCATCAGTTTGAGCAAATATATATTTTAGGACTGGGTAGGGGTGTAGCTCAGTGTTAGAAAACTTACCTAGCAGTATGTGAAATGCCCCTGAATTCAAGTCCCAGCAGGGGAAAATAAAAGCGGCTCTCAATCAGGGGTAATTTTGCCCCGAGGCGACATTTGACAATGTCTGGAGACATTTTTGGTTGTTGCATTTTGGAGGATACAGTGGTAGACCCACCTGCACAGGACATTCCCCTGCCACAAAGAATAGCTGGCCAAAAGTATCAGCAGTGAGGTTCAGAAACTCTTTTTTTTAAATTCAGTATGAAGTAATAGGTACTCAGCACAAACAGCAGCAGCAGGAAGATTAGCCCAAGATCTCCCTCCCAGGGATAACAGTACTAACAGCAGCTAAAGCTTATTGACTTTGTTCTGTGTTTCCACAGTGTGTTATGCCATCTAGTTTTTTTTCTTTTGGCAGTAATGGGACTTGAACTCAGGGCTTCATGCTTGCTAGGCAGGTGCACTTACCTCTTGAGCCACTCCACCAGCCCTGTTTTGTGATGGGTGTTTTGAGATAGGGTCTGTTGAATTATTTGCATAGTCTAGCCTTGAACCACAATCCTCCTAATTTCTTCCTCCTGAGTAGCTAGGATTACAGGTATGACCCACTGGTGTCCAGCTCTGCACATATTTTTAGTAAGTATTGTTAAGTGAAAAGCAATAGATGCACTGGGCAAATGATGCAGATGACATACCTGGCATGGAGAGGGAAGTAAGTGTCTTTGTCCTCCCTGACCCTCAGCCTCCATATCTCCCTTGCTGCAGGCTCTGCCCAAAGCCAGGGCATCTGGGAGAATGTCTGTTGTTACCTGATTGTTCAGGCTGTTCTGTGAACAATCATCCATTGCTAGGATGACCTGTGATTTGACTCTAAATGTGTCCTTTGCAGCACACATTTGAGTCCCAACTGTGAGTGGGACTCTTGTTTTTTCCATATTAGACCAGACCATAATTGCAAACTCAGAACAACTTGTGTTCCTCAGGTAGGAGGCAGAATATACAATCCACCTATTTGAAGAATATGCAAGTTGATAACATTTAGTATATTCAGAGTTGTACCCCTTAACTGTCACTCCCTGCCCCGTCCCCCATTTCTCCCCAGCTGTAGGCATTGCCTGTATCAATGAACTCATACAATGTATGTTCTTTTGTGCTCGATGTCTTGGATTTAGCATGTCTCAAAGGTTGTCCGTGCTGCTTCATACATCAGTACTCATTTCCTTCCTTTCTTTTCCAGTGCTCGGGATGGACCAAGGCCTCATACCTGCTAGGCAGGTGCTCTACCACTTGGGCAAGGTCCTTTGCTCTTTTGCTTTAGTTTATTTTTCAGATAGAATCTCACTTTTTGCCTGGGTTGGCCTTAAACCACGGTTTTCCTACCTCCGCCTCCTATGTAGCTGGGATTAGAGTTGTACGCCACCACGCCTAGCCCCTTGAACTCTGGGCCTCGCACTTGCTAGGCAAATGCTCTAGTGCTTGACCTATGCCTGCAGCCCCTGAATTTCTCTTTATAATTAAATAGTATTCCATTGTATATATTTGCCACATTTTATTTATTCATTTACCAGTTGGTGGCCATTTGGGTTCTTTCCACTTTTTGGCAGTTGTGAATAATGCTGTGTGGACATTTGTGTACAAGTGTTAGTGTTGGATGTGTGATTTCATTTCTCTTTTGTGTACACCTAGGAGTGGGATCTTCACTAGGTGGTCACTCTGCTGACCTGTTTGAGGAACAGACGGCCAGATTCTTTTCCAAAGTGGGGTTTCACACCCCCCAGAGGTGCAAGATGGTCACAATTTGTCTCCATCCTTGTCAAAGCATATTCTTGTCCTTTCCGGTTCTAGCTATCTGAGCAGGTGTGAGGTAGTTTTGCTTCGTATTTCCCTAATGGTCATGCTGTTGAGCATCTTCTCACATACTCACTGTTCATTTGTATATCTTTTCTGGACAATACCCTGAGTTTGCAGGTCCGAGAGATCACAAAATCACCCTCTGTCCTTCCCACTGTGACTGAGAATGTAATACAGACTCCTTACCAGGCCTGCCAGCTCTGGCCCTCTCACCTGTTCTCCTTCCATGCCCTCTCTCAACCCTGCCTCAGCCTCACTGGCCTCGTTGGTCCAGACTGGGCCTTTACACATGCTATTCCCTCTGCGTGGGACGCTCTTCCCCCTGCCTAGCTTTCTAGTTTATATTGGTTTCCTCTTGCTGCTATGACTTATTACCACAAATTGAGTGGTGATATAAAATTGCCCAGATTTATTACCTTCCTGTTCTAGAAGTCATCCCTTGGCTTATGGCCCCTCCCTCCGTCTTCAGAGCTGGCAGCACCTCATCTTCACACCCCTCTCTGACCTTGCTTCTGTCATCACGTTTTGAAGTTTACACCCTTGCCTCCCTCTTCAAAGGACTGATCCAGGTAATTCAGGATGGTTTCCTCTCTAAATCCTTATGTAGCCCCTTCTCCAAAGTCCTCATTGCCTCGCCACTGTACCATATTCATGGATCTTAGGGTTAGGACATGATGTCTTTGGGGTGGGTATTATTGTCTGCCATAGTCCTGCGGGTCAGCTCACATGCAGCCTCTGAGAGACCTTTTCTGCCTCTCCCTCCTGTTAATTCATCAGCCCATCAGGGTTTCATTTCCTCTGTTCCATTTAGTGTACTCAGCACCACCTTGCTCTTGTTTGTTTGTGTCTGTCCCTCTCTGTAGCATAGATGTGTGTGAGGGCAGTGACCTTGCCTGCTTAGTTCACTGCTGTATCTCCAGCTTAGGACATCTCCAGGCACCTGGGCAGGTGCTCCATGACCACTTGAGTGAGCGATGCACTAATTGGCACAGGGATGAGAAAGACATGGGGCATGTCCTCTTCTCATCCTGCAGAGCCATCTTCAAGCCCATGGCTAGCCAACTCTCCTTCTTGGGTCAGAGGCCACTGACCTGGGAGCCAGCTGTGCAGCCCAGTCATCTGCTCTCACTGCATCTTAGGACTCTCTGGTTTCCTCATGAGCCAAATGAGAGAGTGATTGTGATAGATTGTCCCTGTAGTCCTAAAATGTCTTGGTTGCTGTGAGTCATTTTAGAAAAAGGTGGTTCCCTTGCGCTGATTGTGGTCCTGGTAGGGATTTGTGGGGGTGTGGGGGTGTGAGAAGAACTCAAAAGTGATTCAGGAAATCCCACAGCCACAAATATGCACACACTTTTGGATTTGACCCTGTGGCAGATAATCTGGCTGATTGGATCATTTCCCTGTGAACACAGGTTTGTTCATTTTTGCTCTTGGAGAAAAGAATTCTGGAGTATATCTATGCCATGTGAAATGGACAGGCGCTCCTTTGTTGGCTGCTCTTTGTCTCGTTCTCTTGTGTGAGTGCCAGCCTTGTGCATAGCCTTGTGCATAGCTTTGCCTCTGCCCAGCTGAGTAACTTCAGGCAAGTGACTATGTCTGTCTAAGCCTTTAGTTTCCTCATCTGTAAAACCACTCTTGCAGAGTGACTGAGAGGGGAGGGGATATGATGACTGCAAAGGTCCTTAGAGCTTTCCTGTCTCCCCACCCAGGGAAGAATCTGGCTAGCATGGAGAGAGGGCATTTGACCCATTGACAGGTCATCTCAGGAGGCAGCTCTGCTCTGGAGGACTCAGATAGTGGGCAAGGTTTTCCACCGGATTCAGGAGTCAGACATTGAGTGAAGGCTCATCTTAATTGTCAACGTGATGGGATTGAGAAAGGCCTGGGAGATTAGTAAAGCGTAGCCCTGGGTGTGTCTGGGATTGTGTTTCCAGAAACAATTAAGTCATGAAGGCTCTGACCGAATGAATGGATTCACAGTATGATGCAGCATTATTGGGAGGTGCTGAGAGGTAGGAAGTGGGGCCTGGTTGGAGGAAGCTGTTAGGAGCTGAGATAGGATTTGAACCAGACCTCGGAATCCCAGGGTTTCACCTCCCAGTCACCACTACGCTGTCCTGCTGAGGTACTGTGTCAGTCAAGTCTCCATGACTGTGACAAATACCTGAGATAATCAACTCATAGAGAGGAAAGGTTTCGGTCCATGGTTGGTTGTCCCTGTTGCTCTTGGACTTGTGGTGATTGGCAAGAGTGCATGGTGGGGCAAGACTACTCACCCCACAGCCAGGAAGTGAAAAATGAGACATGGGAGTGGAGGTCCACTGTCCCCTCCAAGGGCATGCCTCCCAGTGACAGGAAGACCTCTCACTGGCTCCTTCCTCTCAGTGGTTCCACCACCTCCCAATAGCACCAAGCCTTTAACACAGGGGCCTCCTGTGGCACAGTTATGTTCCAAACTAGAGAGTACTCACACAATGCTTTTATACCTATAGGAAAAATCGAGAGGACAAAACACTCAAGTGTAACCAGTGGTTTCCTTGGGGTGGGATACTCATAGAGACTTTTTTCTCCTGTTTTCTAAGTGTTCCATAATGATCAGGTGTTACTTGTCTATGTTGAGAAAAGAACTGTGAGGTAGTAAGAGCCCTAGACAGTGACAACTCAGTGTGTCATCGCCAAGATCTCTGTCTTGTCTGGACCCTGTCTCAAGGGTGTAGATCAGTACCTTAAGATATTTTCACAGAACTAAAATGTTACACTTGGAGGGCACCTCAGACTTTGCTTCCTATTTCTCCTGGGAAGAAAGCGCAACCCACGGAGGGTCACGCGGCTAGCTGGGCTCCCATTGCCACCAGCCCAGTGCTGGCTTGTTTTCCAATTACATCACACCCGAGGCGGGGGAGGTGAGCACATGCAGTAGCTCTGTGCTCTGGCAGGGTGGTCGGGGGAGGGGCTCCTTCCACTTCTCTCTGCTCTTTTTCTCTTAGGGCTAGAAGCAGCCTCTGTCCCTGGTGACATCACTTCCCCCTGGACTGGGGTTTCCAGTGACTAAAGTTGCAACTCTGGAACTTTCCGCTCCTAAAGGGTACTTCTCCTGGAGTCTTTCTCTCTGCAGGAGGCTGTCCCAGCTCTTCCTCATCCATCCAGAGGGGAGATGACTGTGAAATCCAATCATGTCATTCCTGGCTCTGACATCTTCCATGGTTCCCATGGCTCTTAAGAGAGAGTCCAGCTTCATGTCTGGCCTCCCTGCCCCCTTCCCCCCGCAGCCCACCTGATCTTGTATTTTCTAAACAGAAGACCTCCGCAGGGCTTGGGCTGACTCCTCACACTATCTCAAGAGCTTGTCACAGGCCTAGGGCACAGTACCTGCTCAACGACATTTTGTTGAATGAAGGAATGACTCCATGTTCACATAGATTCCTGCTCCGTGATCTCTGAAATCTTAGCACTGAAGCTTGATCATTTTCTTCCAAAGTATTTCAGGAGGCAGGAGGATTTAGAGTTTAAGGCCAGCCTGGGCAAAACAGTACCCAACCTATCTCAAAAACAAAATAAAAATAAGAGGGCCAGGGCTTAGCACAAATGGTAGAGCTCCAGACCCTAGGTTCAATCCCCAGTACCTCAAACCACAACAACAAAAAAGTGTTTATTTCAAGGTGTTCACACCATTGAAATCTACAAACACTATACATCATGTTCCCTTTCCCTGCCAAGCCAGTTAAACATTTTTTCTTTTTTTAATGCAAGGCTCTTCATTCAAATCTCAGCATTTCCAAAGAGGGGGAAAAAGCCTCCCTCATGTTAATAAACTCAACAGAATAGTACATAACCATTAAAAATGCCATCCATGAAGAGCTTGTGATAGCCTAGAGAAAGCTTATGCTGTCATGTTAATAAATAAGATCAGAATGCAAACTCTTGCCTAATGGAGGGTGGTGTGATACAGTGCATCTTTTTCTCCCCTTTGTATTTTTCATGTTTTCTTTGTGAACAAATGCGTAGTAAAAAAAGTCCATGTATAGTAAAAAAGATGAAAAGAAGGAATGCATGATTTTTACTATTGCTGATGGTAGCTCCCTGGGAATTTTATTCAGTACTTCAGAGAGTGCAAAGTGCTTTGGTATCCATGAACTGACTCTCCCCTTCTCCCTTACCCTCTCTCTCCCTCTCTCTCGGCGGTACTGGGGTTTGAACTCAGGACATTACACTTGCTAGGCAGCCTTCCATGATTCTCTTGAATCTTGTAGCAGTTCTGTGAGTCTGGTGGGGTTTGGAGTCCTTCATTTATTCATTCGTCAGTCATATACTGAGTTTTCCCCACCAGGCCTGGGACTTAGCCAGACACCCAGGGCAAAATGTAAGGAGGGGCTGTAAGAACAGAGGCAGCCCAGGGAGCAGCCAGCTTCCATTGTGCTCAGGTGCCTCCCTTGCCTCACCCTCATCCTGACTGTACCCAGCTCTATGCACTGCCCAGCTCCGTGCTCTGTTCTGAGGAACCAAACAGATAAAAGACCATGTCAACACAAAGTTTCCATTCAGGAAAGAGGGCAGGCAGAGAGTTCTGTGCCCCCCTGAGGCTCCCACTGGTGAAGTGACAGTCCCAAGCAAAGAAACAGCTAACACTCAATGCTCTGGAGCCCTCATCCTGTCACTTTTCTCTGTCTCCAGCAGCAACAAGGTAGATTTAAGTTGGAGTGTCCTTGTGCCAGTCCCCATGGGCATTCAGTAGGATCAGGCTTGAGGGGGAAGGTAGGTTCAGTGTTCTGGACCAAGTTGGGCCAGCGTGGGGACCCTGTGATAGAGAGACTGAATCTCTAAGTAGAATTTATTCATCCTCCAGCCTCGTACGTGATCACAGACCTGACACAGCTGCGGAAGATCAAATCCATGGAGCGGGTGCAGGGAGTGAGCATCACCCGGGAGCTGCTGTGGTGGTGGGGCATGCGACAGGCTACCGTCCAGCAGCTGGTGGACCTCCTGTGCCGCCTGGAGCTCTACCGCGCTGCCCAGATCGTCCTGAGCTGTGAGTAACACATCTGCTCCTGTGCAGTTTCACGGTGGGCTGCCCTGTCTGGCTTGAAAGCTTTTTACATCTTTTTGCAGTGCTAGGGGTGGAACCCAGGTCTCACCCATGCTAGCAAGTGCTCTACCACTGAGCCACACACCCAGCCATACATTTTTTCTTTCTAGATTAAAATTCATTCATACAGTCAAGGTTTATCAGGAAAACCCCTGAACTAGCCAGAAACATAAAACCTTTTAAATCTTGTAATTAAAAAAAATTGGGGACCTGGGGGTTCTTCTGCCCTCACAGAGTGCATGGAAGACAGGAAAAGAAGCAAAAATAAATATGGTTAAAGAAACAGGACAAAATGACCAGGTAGGGGAGCCTCTAAGGACAGAGTAGTCAAGGAAGGCCAGTCTGAGGAGATGAAACTAGAGGAGTGGAGAGAAGGCAACCATGTAAAGAGTCAGGGGAAGAGAGCCCAGGGAGAGGGCAGTGTGTTAGAGGCCCTGTGGAGCCTAGGACATAGAAAAAGCTCTAGAAACAAGACGATGTGGTGGGAGGCAGACAGCGGGGCATTCAGAGCTTCAGAGAAACAGGACCCTCTCTGTACCTTGGAGTTAGTTGTCCTATCTGCGGTTCCTGAGCTGGGAATAACCTGGTTGGGCCAGCAGACCCAGGTTCAGCACTTGACTCTTCCTTGGGCCTCCTAGAATCAGGACAGGGTTCCAGGAAGGACCTGTAGCAAGGGACCAAGTGGTGGGAACCTAGAGAGCTGCAGCCTCAGAGATGCGCTGAGGCTGCCTGGAGCTGCAGCCAGCTGGCATGTAATCATAGTTATTTGGGAGACAGAGATCCAGGAGGATCGCAGTTTGAAGCCATCTGGGCAAATAGTTCCTGAGATCCTATCTTGAAAATATCCAGCACAAAACAGGGTTGATGGAGTGGCTCAAGTGGTAGAGGGCTTGCCTTTCAAGCGTGCGGCCCTGAGTTTGAACTTCAATACCAAAAAAAAAAAAATTTTGAGTTGCAGCCTTTGGGAGCTTTCAAAGCATCATGGGGCAGACCAGACTGGGCAGGTAGGCTGGGGGCAGCAGGACTGTCTCTACCTTTCAGTCACGAGGCAACTCCTCAGGACTTACTGTGTCCAGAAGACCAAGGGCTTTTTTGCACACTAGGGCTTCCTGTGTGGGTCCAGAAATAGGAAAGATCCTGTTCTCAGTGGGAGTGACATTCCACCATGAAAGAGACTCCAGCTGGGCTGCTTCTGGATAGGTCTGCGCCTCCCCTCAACCATGCACTCCCCACCTGTGGCCTGTCAATCATGCCATCTCCACTCTGTTTCCACCTTCCCACCCAGTGTCAACTCACAGTCTGCCAGCCCTCTGTAACCCGCCAGAACTCTTCTGGCTTGTCCTGAGCCTTGTCAGACCACCATTCCTCATCTCATCATCCCTGAAGGCCAGGTCCTCAGGCTGGTGGGGCAGAATAGTCTGGGGTGCTCCACAGTGAAATGGTGAGGTGGCAGCCTGAGTTTCAGTCCAGGCCCAGCCTTGGTTATGCAACCCTGGCAGGTAGGTCTCTCTTTTCCAGACTTGGAGCTACCTTGGGCACTGAGGGACCTGGGCTGGATGACATGCAGAGGCCCTCTGGATCTCCTGGTGCATTGGCCCCATTATTGCTAGTACCACAGGGCATTTAATTTGCTCAGCGTGACTAACACCTGCCCAGCTGGACTGTGAGCCCCGCTTTGGCTTCTCTGTATCGCCAGAATCCAGCACGTGGCACTTGCTGAGGTATGATTATCAAGTGAATGTACCCTAAAATGTTAATGGTAAAACTCCCCTTGTTTTTGTAGCAAGCAGGACCTCATGCTTGCTAGGCAGGCGCTCTTAAATAAGCACTTGAGCCACTCCACCAGCCCTTTTTTCTAATGGTTGTTTTCTAGATAGTCTCCTGAACTGTTTACTTGGGTTGACTTTGAACCTTGATCCTCCTGATCTCTGTCTCCTGAGTAGCTAGGATTACAGGCAAGAGCCATCAGTGCCCAGCTGATTTTTGATTTTTGGTTTTTGAGACAGAGTCTCACTGTTGTAGCCCAGAATGACTTGGAGCTCACTATGTAGCCCAAGTTGGCCTCAAAATCATGATCCTCCTGCCTCAGCCTCTCAAGTATTAAGATTACAGGCATGCATCACCACTATAGGCTCTGATGGTAAACTCTTAATGGGTCCTCAAGGAGGCAAGGAGAGGGCTGGTGAGGGCAAGGGGAAGAGCTGCTGGCTCATATATGGTCAGGAGTGTGTATGGGGGTCCAATCTGTTCCACATTGGGAGGGGAAGACAGAGAGAGGCAAAACCCTGAGAGGTGGCAGGGGAGCCTGTCATAATGTGTGAGAGCAGAGGCACACCCACTTGGCATTGACGTCAGAAGTGACTGTTGACTAATCTAGGAAAGATTCTTAACCATTTGAGGTTAACAAACAGTCTAGTGCTCATGGCAGCTTGACACACTTTTTCTTTTCTTCCTTTCTGTTTTCTTTTTTGGTGGTATTGGGGTTTAAGCTCCCTGCCTTGCCCTGGCTAGGCAAAGGGCTCTACCACTTGAGCAATTCCTCTAACTAAAGATGTTGTAAGACTTTTTTTTTTTTTTTCCTTGGTGCTGGGGATGGAACCCAGGGTCTTGCACATGCTAAGTCACCATTCTGCCACTGAGCTACACTCCAGCAGCTTGCCACTTATTTTAAGCAGGGGATAGCAGCTAGGGAATAGCAGCCGGGTCTGTGAAGAAACAGTTAGTGGTGCCTTCCCTCTTAACCTCGGTTGGCATAGAACTTTACTCAGCTCCACGCTGTCCTGTCCTATCCTCTCTGCTCCCCAAACCTATTTCTCTTTCCCTCAGCCCTGCTGATCAAAGCTGCCTGAGGAAGAGAGATTAAGGCCTATCTCCATCGTCCCCAGTCCCTGGCTGTTCTGCAATGGATTGTGTTTGCTATTTATTTCTTTGATCTTTCAGCCAAACCACTTCCCCTTTCTGTATTTTTTTTTTTCATTAGGAGGTAAAAACATAGGGCATGTGTGAAACATTTTGTTTCTGTATTCCAAATGGTCCAAGGCTTTTCTCCTTTCCAAATGTAACATCAGTTAAATATTTTGCATTTACTTGCTTAAGATTGTTTATTTACTTGTTCAGCTGCCCCCAGCAGTTTCGAAATAGACTTCCTCGTCGCCTCTTTTTTTTGGTGCTGGGATGGGCCTCTTGGTTGCTCCAAGTGCTCTAACACTGAACTACATCCCCAAGCCCATCTCTCAACTACTTCAGAAACCACTTTAAAAACAGATTTGAATAAAATAGTACTTGAAAATCACACACAGCTATAGCCAGGTATGGTGGCTCACACCTGTAAACCCAGCTACTCTGCAGTCAAATGTTCTACCAGGGAGCTATACCTCCATCCTCGCTACTCTGGAGGCAGAGAAAGTAGGGTCGGGATTTGGGGTCAGCCCAGGCAAAAAGTTAGTGAAACCCTATCTCAACAAACAAGCCCAAGTGGTGGTATATTCCCCTAATCCCATCCATGTGGGAAGCATAGATAGGAGGATCACTGTCAGAGGCCAGCCCAGGCAAAAATAGGAGAGACCTTATCTAAAAAATAACTAAGGCAAAAAACGTGCTGGGAGTGCAGCTCAAGTGATAAAGCACCTGCCTAACAAGCTCCAGGTTAAACAGTAGTACTGCCAAAAAAAAAAAAAAAAAAAAAAAATCACAAGAAAAGTCCTAGGGTAGGGGGTGTGGCCCAGTCGTAAAGCACTTCCCTAGCACGGGTGAGGTCCTGGGTTCCAACCTCTGTACTGCAGAAAAAAATAAAAATAGAAAGGTCCTAGATATATACAGTGCCTTCCTAGGAGTGTGACTCTCCAGGTGACAGGTCATATTGAACAGTGTCCTTTTAAATGTTGTGCCTGTACTGAAAGGCAGTGCGTGGGCTTGTCGCTTAAAATCATGGACTGTGGTGGCTGCCCTGCTTACTTGGAGGGCTGGGTCTTGTGGGTTTGTGTTCTTTCCTATTTTCTCAGCTTTAATTGCCAAGGCCATTGTTATTTAATCTGTCAAACATGAGATGTTATAAGAATTAACATTAATTAGTACAGAAGGCTTAATAGGAAGTAACTCCTTCCTTCCTTGGCCTTCTGCTCCCTGGTACAGCAAATCCACTTGCCAGTGTTACCTTTTTATTTGGTGGGACTGGGGCTTGAACTTAGGATTTTGTGCTTGCAAACTAGGTGCTCTACCGCTTGAGCCACACCTCCAGTCCATTTTGCTGTGGTTATTTTGGAAATAGGGTCTCAAGAATTATTTATTGGGACTGGCCTCAAACTTCGATCCTCCCGACCTCAGCTTCTCAAGTAGCTAGGATTACAGTCTTGAGCCACCAGCACCCAGCTGCCAGTGTTGACCTTTTTTCACTCTTTCCATCACTTCTCGGTACTGCTGTTGATGAAGGACAGACTGCAGTGGCTTAAATAAGAGCCAAACTCATCTCTCCCCCAGTCAGTCCAGGCTGTCCAGGGCTGATATGGTAGCTCCCTGGTGTCAAAGACCAGGTTCTTTTCTTTTTATTGTCCTGCCCATTGGTTGTGTGGCTACTAATTCTTTATGCAAGGTGCCTATCTGTGCTACCACATGTATTCTTCAGCTAGCAAGGAAGTGACAATAGCTGGGTGCTGGTGGCTCATGCTTGTAAGCCTAGCTACTCAGGAGGCAGAGATCAGAAGGATCGAGGTTGAAAGCCAGTCTGGGCAAATAGTTCTTGAGACCCTGTCTCAAAAATACCTAACACAAAACAGGGCTGGCAGAGTGGCTCAAGTGCTAAAATACCTGGCTATCAAGTGTGAGGCTCTGAGTTCAAACCCTAGAACCACCAAAAAAAAAAAAAAAACAAAGATGACAAGAGGGAAAGGTGGGCATGACTTGGAAGTTAACACCTCCCCTTCCCCTCTGGCCAGACCTAGTCAGAG